GATGTTACTAAAGGCAACTTACACAAATTGTAAAATATCTATCGATAGAAATCCAGGTATCAGCTTGAAGACTCCCGTAAGCTGTAACAAAATAAAAAAATGCATGTATGTATGTATGTATGTATGTATGTATGTATGTATGTATGTATGTATGTATGTATGTATGTATGTATGTATGTATGTATGTATGTATGTATGTATGTATGTATGTATGTATGTATGTATGTATGTATGTATGTATGCATGCATGTGTGCATGCATGCATGCATGCATGGATGTATGTATGTATGTATGTATGTATGTATGTATGTATGTATGTATGTATGTATGTATGTATGTATGTATGTATGTATGTATGTATGTATGTATGTATGTATGTATGCATGCATGCATGCATGCATGCATGCATGCATGCATGCATGCATGTATGTATGTATGTATGTATGTATGCATGCATGTATGTATTTATGTTCCTATCCATCCTTCCACCCATCCGTCTATCTGTCTGTTTGTCCACCTGCCCATTCGTCCAGAGATATTCTAATATATGTCATGATGCTACCACAATTAACTACTTTACCTTCTGTCCCTCAGTATGTTTGTATATATGTATGTGAACACTGCACAAGTCCATTTTTCAAACACTTAAGAACGGTTGCTTTTGTAGCAGAAGCTTGCAAATAATAATAATAATAATAATAATAATAATAATAATAATAATAATAATAATAATAATGATGATGACAACGACGACGACGATGATGATGACGACGACGATAATAATAATAATAATAATAATAATAATAATAATAATAATAATAATAATAATAATAATAATAATAATAATAATAATATACCTGTTGTTTAAATTCGTATTCAAGCTTAATGTAATGTTCTGAAGTTTTCTTTCTGAGGTCCTCATTAAAGATTAGGGGAACAGAAACAGATAATCCCAGCTCCGCCTTTGTTTGATCTACACAGAAAAAAAGCAATTATACAATTTTGGCATCAGTCAGCTTCATAACAAAGTATTCATCATTCCGAGGGAAGGTGTATGCATTAAAATGTTTCCGGGATAGAATGCAGGATCACGAAGCACTCACTCATTTTGAACAGGAATCACTAAGAAGCCATGTTTTTTTTTTAAAGCAATTTTTCTCGAGTTCTTCCCACAACTGCTGACATCAATAACGATTTAGCCGAGTCTGTAAGTAATTAACTTATGAAAGCAGTAGGTGTTAGCACTCGAAATTGTTTATTCCATTCGGATTATGCGACGAGATGAAATTTAGATAAAATTGATTAGAAATTTTGATAGGATTTAGAAAGCATTTATTTGAGTTGGAAATGATCTAATCGCATATAAAAGCTCTCGTCTTAGCAGTTTCTTGGAGTATCTTGAATGGAATTTACGTAACGCAGTAATGTGTATTTATCTTGTCTTTAGTAGTGTTCTAACCGGGTAGGGGTTGTAGGGCGAACAATGCGCTAGAAGTCTTGGGGCTAAAAACCCCTTTGGGCCAGAATCGTCACCATAGGCACCATTTACAACTAGTACGCCACTGCTTGTCTTAGTGAAAACGGCAGGGTTTCTGAGTATTTTCACACATTTGACAACCTTTTAAAATGGTTTTTCGTGGACCTCTATAGTCTGTGTTCATCTTCGTTGTTTGCTATATTTTTAAAAATTACTGTTCTTGTCAGTGTTTGAAAGACTCTTAAAAGATTAAATTTATGGCAATGGGAATCAGTGAGACATCCGAGGCAAATTAGTTATGTCAAAGCTAAATCCATACATACTGCCAACGCACGTTTGAAATTAGTCGTCCATGTTTTTAAACCAAACAGTAACTATCTGATACATATTTGAATCACTTAGTATATCAATTCAAAGCACTGATAATATTTCGATTCGCTTAGTATATCAATTCAAGGCACATATGCAATTTCCACTCACTTAGTATATCAATTCAAGACACATGCAATTTCCATTCCTTTAGTATATCAATTCAAGGCACATATTTGCAATTCCCATTCACTTGGTTTATCAATTTAAGACACATATGTAATTTCCATTCACTTAGTATATCAATTCAAGACACATATTCAATTTCCATTCACTTAGTATATCAACTCAAGACACATATCCAATTTCCATCCCATTAGTATATCAATTCAAGGCACATATGCAATTTCCATTTCCTTAGTATATCAATTCAAGACACATGCAATTTAAATTCCCTTAGTATATCAATTCAAGACATATGCAGTTTCCATTCCCTTAGTATATCAATTCAAGATACATATGCAATTTCAATTCCCTTAGTGTATCAATTCAAGACATATGCAATTTCCATTCCCTTAGTATATCAATTCAAGACACATATGCAATTTCAATTCCCTTAGTATATCAATTCAAGACATATGCAATTTCCATTCCCTTAGTATATCAATTCAAGATACATATGCAATTTCAATTCCTTTAGTATATCAATTCAAGACACATATGCAATTTCAATTCCCTTAGTGTATCAATTCAAGACATATGCAATTTCCATTCTCTTAGTATATCAATTCAAGACACATATGCAATTTCAATTCCCTTAGTATATCAATTCAAGACATATATGCAATTTAAATTCCCTTAGTATATCAATTCAAGACATATGCAATTTCAATTCCCTTAGTATATCAATTCAAGACACATATGCAATTTCAATTCCCTTAGTATATCAATTCATGACATATGCAATTTCCATTCCATTAGTATATCAATTCATGACATATGCAATTTCCATTCCCTTAGTATATCAATTCAAGACACATATGCAATTTCAATTCCCTTAGTATATCAATTCAAGACACATATGCAATTTCCATTCCCTTAGTATATCAATTCAAGACACATATGCAATTTCAATTCCCTTAGTATATCAATTCAAGACATATGCAATTTCCATTCCCTTAGTATATCAATTCAAGATACATATGCAATTTCAATTCCCTTAGTATATCAATTCAAGACACATATGCAATTTCAATTCCCTTAGTGTATCAATTCAAGACATATGCAATTTCCATTCTCTTAGTATATCAATTCAAGACACATATGCAATTTCAATTCCCTTAGTATATCAATTCAAGACATATATGCAATTTAAATTCCCTTAGTATATCAATTCAAGACATATGCAATTTCAATTCCCTTAGTATATCAATTCAAGACACATATGCAATTTCAATTCCCTTAGTATATCAATTCATGACATATGCAATTTCCATTCCATTAGTATATCAATTCATGACATATGCAATTTCCATTCCCTTAGTATATCAATTCAAGACACATATGCAATTTCAATTCCCTTAGTATATCAATTCAAGACACATATGCAATTTCCATTCCCTTAGTATATCAATTCAAGACACATATGCAATTTCAATTCCCTTAGTATATCAATTCAAGACACATATGCAATTTCAATTCCCTGAGTATATCAATTCAAGACATATGCAATTTCCATTCCCTTAGTATATCAATTCAAGACATATGCAATTTCAATTCACTTAGTATATCAATTCAAGACACATATGCAATTTCCACTCACTTGGTATATCAGTTCATATAAAATTTCCATGATAATATTTATATTCACTTAGTATATCAATTCAAGGATCTGGTAAAATCTATATTCACCCAGTAAATCAATTCATGACACATATGCAGAGAATATTTTATTTTCCTCTATGTCCACTTATCCATTTCTTAAGCTATAATTTTGAAATATCAATAAATCAAGTCACCTCTTACGATGGTACCCAGTCAAGTGAAATTCATCCCTTGGTATACACTTCTTTTTTATTCATCAATTTGAAAAACAAATACTGAACAATTCTTGGAAAAGTAATTTTATTTAATTGTAGATACTTGTATTTACCCAGTTCAATTTCTTTGATATATTGTTTTCTCGTATTCTCCGAAATAATAGCTTGGGCTGAAAATCAAAGAAAAACTGAAAGCAATTAGTATGAAAAAAGTCAGTCATTGACAGAGCAAATACTAGCAAACATTATTGTTTATATCTTGCAGTACCTTTACGGTCCTCTATTATTATTAACACCGTCCTGACCATAAATGCGTTCATGTATGAAAAACTAAATCAGGGAGAAGACAGAAGCTTTGTTATTGTTTCTATTGAAAAGTAATGTTTTAATGTGTGAGAATAACTAATGATATTTGGGTTTCCCCTCAGTTCCTCTGCATTGTACCTTGCATAGCGTAATGTAAAAAGAACTTAAGGAAGAACAAATCAGGTAACTGAGTTTAGTTGACCGGAGAGAAAACGAGCACGTATTAAGCAGAAAGAGATGAAACGTTTTGCATTGTATTTACTTTTCAAAATACCACTGTTTTGAAACTAAAATCAAATTAAAATATGGAAAGTCTTCTATATAGTTGTTAGCTGTCATTTCTGACAATCTGTCCTTTGACATCCACATGGTTTCATTATTATGTTGTACATTATCAGGTATTGTATACGTTATGTGTATACTATGTTTCGAAATAGCGAATTTGTGATATAATTTATTCATTCTATTCATCAAAGATTACCTTGAGAAAGTTTAAAATAGTAAGAGACGGTGAAAGGGGAAGAATCTCAGAAGGCTGATAATGCTTGTTTTCCGATATTTTTTTGAGATTAGATTATTATTGGTTCGTGCAAGTTAAACGTTTGTCGTGGTACCACGAACGAGTTAATGTGATGTGATTATGATTTTTAACGCAGCTTTAACAATTTGTCAGTCATATCGCTACGATGTCTGCAGTGTGGCAGTTTATAGTGATGTCTAGCACAGGGGCATCATGCCGCAGACATGTAGTATGATGTCTCACCCAGTTACATTATCCTGACACCAGGCCAACCAGTCCTAACACTAACCTCTTAATGCTGAGCGCCAAGCGAGGTAGCTGTTAGTACCATTTTTGTAAGTCTTTGAGATGACTCGACTGGGGATGGAACCCACGATCTCCCGCATCCGAGGCGGACGCTCTAACCACTAGGCCACCGGAGCGGTCCGAACAAGTTGAGCCAAAAGCTTTAAATATGCTTGTCATAGCAAAATTCACATTGCTGAGCGCGAACGTTGACAAGTTGGCCATTGTACAATTAAACATCTTGAGTCTGTAAGTTGATACATTGGCCGTGGTACAGTTAAAGATCTTGAGCCTGAAGGTTGACACGTTGGCCGTGGTACAGTTAAAGATCTTGAGCCTGAAGGTTGACACGTTGGCCGTGGTACAGTTAAAGATCTTGAGCCTGAAGGTTGACACGTTGGCCATGGTACAGTTAAAGATCTTGAGCCTGAAGGTTGAGACGTTGGCCGTGGTACAGTTAAAGATCTTGAGCCTGAAGGTTGACAAGTTGGCCATGGTACAGTTAAAGATCTTGAGCCTGAAGGTTGAGACGTTGGCCGTGGTACAGTTATTAAAGATCTTGAGCCAGACCTTTGACACATGGGACATGATAAAATTAAAGACCTTGTGCCTGAAAGTGGTCACGTTGGACGTGATACAGTCAATGATCTTAAGTATTTCTGTTGACACATTGGAAGTGATACAATTAAAGTAATTGAGTCAGATAGTTCTAACTCTTTATTACAATAGAACTAATAAAGGGTTTAATATAGAACGTACAAACGTTTGCCATTGTACAGTTAATTGGTCTGAGCATGGTAGTTGAGCGTGTTTGCAGTATTGCAATTAAAACATTCGCATTCGAGAGTTCTAATTGTTGCCGCAGTACAATTCAAGAGTCTGCGCCGGAACGTTCAAACGTTTACGGTGGTCAAATGTAAATGTTTGCGCCTGAGAGTGCAACAGTCTGCCGTAATGAAACAAGTTGAACCTGTGAGTTAGGCGTTTTTGTCGGACCACAATTAAAGAGTTTGAACCTGAGTACTCAATCCTTTTTCCTAATACAGGGGAAGTGTTGGAGTCCTAAACATTAACATATGCAAGCCTTGTGATGTGGCACAGGTTTAAACTTGAAAAATGTTGTAAGGTTACTTATAACAAAATCAATCATACAATAATTGAATCATTCACGAATTACCAACAAAAAAGAGATTATGAAAACCAAGGCATTAAATAGGCTTTACCTGTTCTATTTTATGAATATAGCTTAAATTGATACAGTTTTGAGAGAGAGAGAGAGAGAGAGAGAGAGAGAGAGAGAGAGAGAGAGAGAGAGAGAGAGAGAGAGAGAGAGAGAGAGAGAGAGAGAGAGAGAGAGAGAGAGAGAGAGAATACCTGGTGTCTTTGATGTTTTTGGAGTTGGTTCTACATACAATATAAAATATAGAATTGATTTGAAAATTTGAAACACACACACACACATATCCACGATAAAAATCCGATTTAATCGTCAATAACAATATTTACTACATCGAAATGACACAGACTGTACTTGGAATTAAAAGAAAGACAAAACTGGATGCTCAAGGCTTCTATTGAAAGACGGAATATGAAACTGAACTGCTGCAATGCATATTGCTATCAAATGGACATGCAGTTCTTTCTAAAAAAACTGACAATGTTGTGATTTGTTTTTTTAAAAAAGTTGGTATGATGTCTCCACGATTGATATGGTCTTCGATATCAGTTACGGAATTTAACTTTCATAACATGTATATTATGCTAGAAATTATATGCACAAATACTTTTCGTGAATACACATGCTTGTGCTAGAGACAGCTGACAAACCAAATGAATTAGAACTGTCAAATATTGTATCTGAAGTGGAGATGATGGACGGGGGATGATACTGAGGTCTCACTGGATATTTTCGTATTTTGACCCCCACCATTTTCACGGTAGAATGCATGAGCCCAATTATCACAATCCCATCATTTATAAATTCACACATAAGCTAAATCTGTAAGGTAGTGTATATTAACTTTGAGTTAGACTTAAAAATGGGTTGGCTTGTTAGTGAGTGCATGTTACAGTTAGACTAGCATTGGAGATCAAATGCGTAACTTGGGCTGCAAATGAGCAGCTGATTTGGTTTGCGTATTTACATATGTCTGCTACATATCTAAAAATCTAGATAGTTGAAAAGGTGTTATAGTACTAGTGAACTTTGCTTCCAGGAAAACCTTCGTCGATATCGAAACTCGGGTTCGAAACTCGGTAGAGTACGAATTTAATTTCTCTAACCTGTATGATAGTATTGTTTGTATTAAACTATATATATATATATATATATATATATATATATATATATATATATATATATATATATATATATATATATATATATATGGCCATATGTATATATAGCCATATATATAGCCATATAGATATAGCCATATATATATATCCATATATATATCCATATATATATATATATATATATATATATATATATATATATATATATATATATATATATATATATATATATATATATATAGCCACTATGTCATAGGAAAATGTTCAAAAAAGCTCTTTCCTGTCAAAAAAGGCACCAGTTGTATAAAGAATTAATCTTAATACCTCAATCAGAATCTTACAAGCATCCTTTTAAAAAAATCATTAATTAGTTTTGATTTGTATCTTTAATGTTATATTATTATCATTTTTCTGCAATAGGTCATCGTCGGATGAAAATTTGCCAAAATACTGTCCAGTGAGTCCTGAATGAAAGCGAGACATATTCAATGATATTGTTTTATCTTCAGTGTATTAAAATGATACATGAATTGGTGTCGAATGTCAAAACTGAGTAGGCCCTATTGTTAAAATGCTTTTACAAATATGAAATTTTATGTTAACGATTTAAAAAAAAAAACAAGAACGATAATTGAATTATTGATTTCAACAAGTGAAAGTTAAATTCATTACACGTTTCAACTTTTTTGTGTATAGAATTGTTTATGCGTCCGTTTACAGATGGATCTAACAAAGACGGTCGAAATTTCAATGTTTTGTTTGAAGAAAACGGGCGAAAAGTAACGAATTTGGTCTATTGCGGTGGACTTACAGTATTGGATGTATTCGGATATACAAAATGAGACGAGTTTAATATTTATAAGGGAATAACAATGCTGTTATGTGCCCTTTTTCATCGCTAGGGAATCAAAATGGTGGATGTGAGAGTGCACAAGTTTTGTGACTTTACATAAAAACAACAACCAATCTTGAAAAAGTCGTACTCCACATGCTTCTGTAAATTGCATTTTACAGAGGGAGTTACGCGTGTTCTTTGACCTTCAATAAAATTCTGAACTTTGCAATAGAATATATGTATTTTCAGACTATTTCACTATATGGTGATTAGTAAGTGAGAAAACACCACATGAACATCACTGCGGCATTATTTGCATATTCAAACAAAGACAACATTAATGTTTTATACTTAAATTTAAAATGACGATCTTAATTTTTGTAAGAGACAGTTTCATAACATTAATTTTAAACTTTGAAAATTAAATTTGATTTAGAGAAATCAGGAATTGATGATAGAATTTATAAGATCTCCTACTTTTTTTTTAAATAATAAGCAAGACCAAACAAACAAAATGAAGAATAAAAACACAAAAGAAAGCAAGGAAATACCATCGCCAAAAAAAAAAAAATGCAAAAAGAACAACCTGAACATTTAAATGGTATGATAAAGTTGAAGCGATGCCAAAGATTGCTCCCTAAAAATATCCAACCCTCCTGAATATATCGATATCTGAACAAACACATTACTTAACTATGCTTAATGCCAATGAAAATTAAATAACAAGTGTTACCTGTTGTAGGCTTTATCGATGTTTCTCCTGGAAAGTGGAAACCAACATTTCACCTTTGCACACATACACCGTTTGATTTGATGACAACGATTAGAATATTATTGAAGGTGTTTTGACTTTTTGGTAATTAAAGCTTGGCAAAGTATGAAATGTTTTGCCTGGAATCTATACAATACTTCATTGTCCTTTGACGAGGAGAAGAAAATAGAAAAGTAAAATAAAAAATAAACCAATTAAGAATTAAATTTCGTTGACAATTCGTATTAGTATTATTAAATGAAATCTACAATGTTAAAATCAGAATTTTAATATTTTTTCTTATTATTTGAAACAATAAGGAATGTACGTTATTATAGTATGAATGTTTGCAAATGTCAGTATTTATATCATTGTCTGTCTGTGTGTCTGTCTGTATGTCTGTGTGTGTCTTTCTGTCTGTCTGTCTGTCTGTCTGTCTGTCTGTCTGTCTGTATGTATGTATGTATGTATGTATGTATGTATGTATGTATGTATGTATGTATGTATGTATGTATGTATGTATGTATGTATGTATGTATGTATGTATGTATGTATGTATGTATGTATGTATGTATGTATGAATGTATGTATGTATGTATGTATGTATGTATGTATGTATGTATGTATGTATGTATGTATGTATGTATGTATGTATGTATGTATGTATGTATGTATGTATGTATGTATGTATGTATGTATGTATGTATGTATGTGAGTGCATGTGAGTGCATGTGAAAGCGACGATAATAGAGATTGGTTACATGACCTCCAACATGCTGACATGTGCCTGGTACTGGACGGTTTCCAGGCTAACAGGATTCACAACATGGCGTAAAGATTGCAAGGCAAAATTTATCAATGATAACAACACCGGCCTTAGCAAAAGCGGGGCCTGATTAAGATAATTTTGGAGAGAAAAATTAACTTTTAAACCAGTTTTATATGGTATTGAACTTAAAAGTTTCTTCCATCGCTTTAAAATTACTTTTTCTCTGTAGATATATTTAAAAAAAAAATACTAACGCGCGAGGACCATGTGGGTCAAATAGGTTCAATCGGCCTAGGGTCGTTCCTGAATGCTAAGTCCAGGGTTAAGTGGACACTATATATGCATTCTAATCACTATTGTACAATCGAAGACGAAAATCTTCTATGAAAAAAACAAAAAAACAAACAAATCATTGGCGCATGTAACATATTTCCTCTAAGTTCATTGTTTTAAAATGAACCAAACATCTTTTACAATAAAAAATAAAT